TGAGCCCATCACTTGCAGTGAGGTGCCCTGTGAGAGGCTGCTGGCAGCTGTTGTGGCCTTGGGCCAGGCTGTGCCCCAAGTCTGGCTGGGCCTCCTCTAACTCAAGTGGCTCTAGGGTTCAGGAGACCCGCACTGCCCAGACAGTGCATGCCAGACTAGGCAGTGCCTGTGTGACACTCTGCTCCCATGTATCTTCCCTCCTGCTCTCCCTGCCTCCACCCAGCTCCATCCCGAGAGTGTCCCTCTGCTTGGGTCAATGCCTGCACGCCCTGCAGGGCACAGGGCCCCAGGGGCAGTGGGAGGATCAGAGCCTCCTGCACATGTGCTGTCCAACCTGTCAGCACCTCCGTGAGGCAAAGCCGCTGCTGGCTGGGGATGTGCCCCCCAGCTCTCTCCCTTTGTCAGGATAGCCAAGCCTGCGTGCCAGAAAGCTCACCCTGTGGTTGAAGCCATCCATCTCCTCTGGAGCTCAGCATTCCCTCCTTGCTCCTTGGCTGCAGGGGGTTTTGGCTGCAGATATTTACCAAGCAATTCGCATCCAATTACAGAAGCTAGAAAAGCTGGGAGGATTTTCCTTTTGGTTTCTCGCAACCAAAGCCAACTTGTCCAAATTACAACCTAGGAAGCATCTCATTAGTGGGGAGTGAGGTCTCCAAAATGTAGAGTGCTTGGAAAACACTGCCAGAGGCATAGGAATGTGGGCTGGCTGGCAGGCGAGTTGGTGAGGAGCCCATTTGGTCACCATCTTCTCTCACCCATGGTAATTTTCCCCATCTTTTCTTCTGTGGCACCTGAAGGGAGAGAAGATGGGATTTTGGAGGCTTCCAGCTCATCATATCACTTCTCCATTCCCACTTTGGTTCCAAAGGTGTTTGATTTTTTGGGCTGAAGCACAGGCTGGTCTTCCCACCCATTTTTTTCCCTCCAGCTTCTCCTGCCCTTCCTCTCGGGCGGTGTGGTGTCACCCCACCCAGGAGGTGAAGGTCTAGGAGCAGAGTTGTGGGAATGGTGGTTACAAGTGTTTAATAACATTAGTGGAAGTAGGATCCTCAGCAGCATCTGGCTGGTTTGTCTGTGGTGCTGTCCCAAAAGGCTGGGGGACATCCCTCACCTGGCCTCATGGAGATCTGCTCCCTGGTGTGGCTGTCCCAGAGGGACTCATGACAGAGGCACCTGCGTGGAGCCAGCATAGCCCCAAGACTTGCTGGAGGCTTTGTCTCAGGTGGGACACAAGCTGGCACAGGGGCTGGGATGTGGGGAGGAGGCGCAGCAGGATCCAAAGTGATCTGGAGACTACCAGCTGTGACTGCAAAGGAGCTTTGTGCCAAGGTTTGAGAATGGGAGAGATCAGGGAAGTGCAGCTGGCAGCTGTGCCTGGGCTTACATGGCTGCGAGGTGTCTCCTATGCCGATGATTTAATGCCCTTCCAAAAATACTTCCCCGGATACAGCTTGCAAGCGCACTGCTGAGCCAGCGGGGAGCAGCTGGGGCTGGCGGCAGGCGCGACTCTGGTGCCTTCTCCCACCCACGGCACTCGGGGGTGCGTGCTGGCCCACGCAGGGCTGGCAGGGCTGGGCACACCTGTGTTTTGAGTGGCTGTGGGAGCTGTTCCCTGGCTGCCCCCCTGTCCCAACAGAGCCCGTGGGTGCTGGTGGGCAGTCGCACCATCACCCTGGCTCCTGGCCTGGTGGGGAGGGGTTTGTGCTCCCCTGCCGAAGGCACCATCTGCTCCCTGAGCTGCTGGCCAGGCTGATGGTCCCTGCCTGGCCATCTCCCACAGCCATCCTCAGGTGCCTGGTGCCTGGGCACGAGGATCCATGAGGGGCTCTTGCTGCAGAGGGGAAGGTGGCTATTGAGCAACCCGGGTCTGCTCCTGGCATCACGTCACCTCTGCCAGCACCTGGGTGATAGCGTGCGCTGTCTCTTATGCCATCAAGAGCCCCTCCTTTTCTGGCTCTCTCCATGGCAGCTGCCAGGCTCCAGCTTATATTTCAAGGTCAAATCTGATGAGCTTCAGCTTCCAGATGGGTGATCTTGTAATGACTTTGCAAATGAGTATCACTCCTGTGTCCCACATGGGTGCGGGCAGGAGGGACACAGCTCCCTCAGCACAAGGGGGAAGGAAAGGCTGGGATGGGTAATGCCAAGCTGCCTGCCCTAGCTCAGCCTCCCTGTCCCCTGGGAGGAGAGCTGCTGGGTTCCTGGGGTGTGATGTGCTTCCCAGAGAGCCAGGTTGGCAGCATAGGGGCCCCCACATCCCCAGGACATCCCAGTGTCTTGGTTCTGGGCTTCAAATTGCCTGAGCCCCTTGACATGACCAAAGTGAGTTTGGATGATGAGCAGCTCCTTGCTCCCCATGATGAACATGTCCCACCATGGGAGGATGAGGTGTTTCCACCAGAGGAAACTGCTCCTTGCCAGCAGGAGAGGTGGGAGAGGTGGCCTGCCCCTGCAGACATGGGGCTCAGGTCTCCTCACTGTCCCCGATGAGCCCTTCTGTGTGGATGAATCAGAATCTCCTTCTCATGGGCCATGCCTGTCCCTGGGGCTGCCTGCCCTTCCTCGCTGCCCGTGGCACTGCCTGTCGCTGTCCCCAGCCTGGCAGGGCAAGTCCCCTGCAAGCCCCGTCCCACTCAGCCACTCTCAGTGGCACACCGTGCTCCGAGTCCCTTTGTGGCCTGGCTGCTGGCACCGTGGGGATGGCACCCGCCGCTCCCCTGGCTGCAGCGCTCCACGGCTCCAGCACCACCCGGCTTTGCCCCCCCAGCCTGGCACCCTCAGCAGCCCCGGGCCTTTGGGCAGCTCTGCCTGCTGTCCCTGGGGGCTGGGGCTGGGAGGAGGAGTGGGAAGGGGGTGGGAGACAGGGCAGCCTCCGCCCGGCTCGGCTGCGCCGGTTCCCCTCCCCGGCCCCACCAGCCCATTTATTACCCCTCTGCCATTCATCGGGCCAGACAGATGCCCCCAAATAAATACCCCCAGACAATAGGGTGGGAGGGGCCAGCGAGGCTCCTCATGAATAAACATGAGGGTCTTTGGACACAGTTTCCTCTCTTCGCAAAATGGGACCGATTGTGCGGCAGGCATTTAAAATTCAGCCGCGGTCGGGCTGTCTTCCAGTGTCCCTGAACTGCTGAGGTGCTTCATTTATTTCATAATTTCCCCTCCTCCCCCCTCGGCGACAGACCTGGCTCTTTTCACGACTTGTCCTCCCTCTTTCTTTCCTTCTTGCTCCCTTTCTCTATTTTTTTTTTTAAATCTTCCTTCCTTTTCCTACTCCTTGTCTCTTTCTCTCCTTGGCTTTTGTGCTGGAGGCCGTGACGAATGGCTCAGAAAAGAGGGTGCTGTGAGAAACTGGGGCTGCTGCTGGCAGAGTGGGTGGTGAGCACTTGGTGCTCGAGGGGGGGCGGCAGGGTCAGGCTGTGAGCGCCCGGCTGGGGCTCCCACACGGAGCTGGGCTGGGGAGGCACTGGGAGATGGGGGATCCCGAGGGCTTCACTGCCTGCGCGCTTGGAAGGACAAGGACGAGCCCCCTGCCTGTCCCTTGCCTGTCCCTTTCCTGTGGGGAGACAACCTTGCAGTGCCCACCCCAGCACATCCAGAGTGGGCTCCATGCACAGGAGGGAAAGGTCTACCCTGCTGTATCACCCACTGGGGGTGAAAAGCAGCCCTGGTGATGCTGGAGCACCCAAAATTTGGGAGGTGCAGAAGGAAGGAGATACTTGTCCAGGCCAGGGCAGACCTAGTGTTGGTGGGGATGGGTTTGCTGGACCCCTGACCTGTTCCCATGCCTGGAGAGCCCCAGCAGTGCTGGTCTGTAGATCCAGAGTGGCTTTTTGGGACCTTGGACAACAGCATCCCCACTGAGCTTCCAGCACCCCAAACCCTCATGTGCCACTTGGTCCTGGGGTGGAGGCTGAACCAGGGCAGCAGCAGAGAATGGAGGGGTGGGAGCACCAGGACATGGCCAGCAGTGTGGCTCCGCATTCTGGGAGACCTGCCAGCACCCTGGTGTTCCATCAGCCAGGTGCTGAGATCCTGATGCCATGCACCCCTGGGAAAGCCTGGAGGTGTCCATGCCATGAACAGGACGGCTCCAGAGTTTGTGGAACCCCCTGAGCTGCTTGCTGTGCTGCTCAGGCTTGGCAGGAGGATGTGTTAATGGGCCCCAGTGCCCACCCTGCCCCCAGGGCTCTGCATGCTCAGATGAGCATCACCCGTGACACTGGGGGACTGCAGAAACTCCCTTGACAGCTCTGATGTGTCCCTGTATTGGGAAAAAGCATCTGCCTATCCCTTCCCCACCTCTGGGATCCTTTGCCTGAAGGCCAGGCAAGGAAAAAGGGAATTTCTACCCAAGGGCTGGCCAGGACACTTCAAGTGAGGTGTCACCTGCCAGAGCATCTGCCCCTTGGGAACTGGCTGGCAGGAGAGACCAGGGCCATGCTGGCAGCAACAGGTGCTGCTGGGGACAGGGGGACATCACCAGATGCAGGTTAGGGGTGGGCAGAGCCTCCATCCAAAGCTCCAGGGGCTCTCCCTGACTGGGAACTCCAAGTGTGGCTTCCTTGGCTCACGAGAGAACACGGAGGGGAGTCTCACCTGGGGCTTAAGGGCGTTGCTGTGGATGTGGGTGCTCTCTGCCAGGGCCACCGCATGCCAGGGCTGCCTGTCCCTCTGTC